AATGTTGCATAGTACAGTATTAATGGTAGATTAATACTGGGCATTTGCAAATAAGAGTACAGTCTAGAACAGCTCTTTATGTAAAATATCTGGGCATAAAATTTGCTATGATTTGGAGCTAATCAAATAGAGATTGATTGATCAGAATTCAAGAATCGCATAGGCTACCCCTTGCCATCCCCTTACAAGACATGTATAAACCCTGACATTCTCAGTATTAAATGTTCTGCTAGAATGACTCATACTACTCCCCAATCTAGACACAGATATCCTCCTGATGTGGCCACACAGCAGGGAAGGGCGTAACTTGATCAGATCGATAGGCCCTACTGTATCCTCTCTCCTCCTCCTCTTTCTATCTACTGATCATTCTCCCTCTCTCACTAATCCATCCCTGCAATCACTCAGACTCCATGAGAGCTCCTTCAGTCCATCCCTCCATCATAGTCTCCTCCACCTCCACTCTGCTAGAGCTCAATCAAAGAAAGAAAAGCAATAGACAGATCAGGCCCCGGCACGTCTTCCCCTCATCACGGCCCCCACAGCTAAAATGGAGGGCGTGAGGAGGAGTACAGGGAAATCTTTCATTTTCCTGCTGCGTTTCCTCCCCTTTTCTTTTCTTTTTTTTTTTCTACATGCAAGTGCCTTCTTTATAGCTCCCCTAAGCTCCCCTTAACCTCCCTTTTTCTCGGGGTTGGTGGACAGGATGGACAGGAAGATGGATGAGGGCCAGACGGCAAGCGGCACAAGAGTGAGTTAATGAGGCAGATTGTTCTCTTTGCAGCCGTGCGAGGGATTACAGGAAGATTACCCATTCTGATTATCTGCACTTCCAATTTTGCTCTCTCTTACTTTCTCCTCTGTGGTAAACTGGAGGGGGTGCAGCAGGACGGGGAGGGGGCCGAGTGAGTGCTCGTGTTTTGATAGAGGTGAGATAGGAGACAGTGGCACATCTCGCTGTCGGGGGGGGGGGGGGGGAATGACAGCTGCTCAAAACACTGACCTACGAATAGATAGATTTTTCTGACTGATGCCTCCGATGTGACAGCTGCTTGGAGGGCAGCGCTCGGCCTAAATATACCCAGCATGAGACTGAATATCTTATAAGTCACAGGAGATCCAGCTCCTTCATCAAGTTTATTCTCTGAGACAAACTTTAGCAAACTAGGTCTAGAGATTTCACCCACTCAAATACATTCAGAAATTTTCCTTCACTAATCCTAGACTTCAGATACATAGACCGAAGTATTAGGCATTAATAATACTGTAGAATATGTTATTTTTCTTTGAAGACATATAATACTAGCCTACTGTAGATATCATATGATTGCTATCATTGTTTACAGCCAGGCCATAGACTGTATAATACATGGACGTATAGTCTCAGTGATTTCACTCATTGGTTTCTAAAGCGGAGATTTAAAGCCAAACTATGGCGCAATGCTGTTCTCAAACTAACTTAAAATCAAACTAGCAATGGGCAAAGACGTGGAGCCATGGCCTGCCTGTCAGTCAGATCAGCCACACCCCTAATCCTGCAGAACTCTTCAGTTTAAAAACAATCAAAATGAATGAGGGATGAAATGTTTTTACTCCAACAAACACTGACTATACTAACATGAGCTGTTCAGACCAAAACTATTTTTTTTAACCAGGCTGAAAGCACGTTTATTTCTGCCCATGAAGGCCATTTTAAAATGCTGTAACTGTTGCTTCAAGGTCTTTCGCAGCCCGTCTTAAGTGAACACAAAATTGAAGTGCAATTTTTTTGTGCACTACTGCGTTGGCTTATGTTTTCAACACTGGAGGACGCCTCATTAAGTGTGGCTCGGTGCACTTAACCAATCCTTGCCTTGAGCACCCAGAAACAAGCTAGGCAAACATAGCTGTAAACCCCTTCTGACATCACAGAAACTCTGATTTTTAAACATAAAAACTGCTTGATCTGATTATTTGACCTGTTTAATAATCAATACTTTATAAAACTGTTTCAGTGCAAGATATGAAAACACTGGTTTACATTTTTTCCAGCTCTGATCAGTTATTCACGTTACACCCCAATGATGTTAGCAATCTTCAAATGTTAGAATTAAATGGTAAATGGACTTGATCTTTTAAATCGCTTTTCTAGTCTTCTGACGACTCTAAGCGCTTTTACACCGCAGGTCACACCTACACATTCACACACTGATGGTAGAGGCTGCTGAGTAAAGTGACCATCATAAGTAACTAATCCCATTCACACACATTTATACACTGTCAAAGCAGTGGGAGCAACTTGGGGTGAAGTGTCTTGCTCAAGGACACATCGAACATGTAGTTGCAGGAGCTGGGGATCGAACCCTTGACCTTCCGGTTGAGAGACAACGGACTCCACCAACTGAGCCACACCTGCTGCAAAGGAATTCAGACCTTTTACGGCATTCAAATACAACTTCCTGGTTGTAGCAACTATACATGTTATCTCTGTATAGGCTACTGTTTTGGAGGAGAAGAATCTAGTTGCATTTTAGGTTGGACTGATATATTGGGAAAGGCTAGCTTACTTGCCGATGCTAAATTCTGCACTTAAGGTATGTGTCTGAGGCCTTTTTTGTTCCTGTCACTGATATTTAGAGACTCTACTTGGTGCACACTTTAATCTAAGACATATTTGAAAGGTGCTGTTTCCTGCAGCCTTCACCTGGCCCCGCTGAGTTCACTCACACTGATTCTATTAAGAGTTGAAAAGCATGACATTTGTATTCAAGAAAGTTGTCGGAGGCCCTCATGTCAGAGGGATGAGCGGAAACAAAAGAGAAGCACAAGACCTTAAATCCACTTTTTGCACTCACCGAATAACAAACGGTGAAAAGGTCTGGAGAAATTATTCAAATTGCGGGGGAATTTGCAATTATTATAAGTCATCTCAACCCACAAAGGCAATGTTAAGCACCCTTCATGAAGTGCACTGAAAGCTCTGAGAACAAAAGTGGAATCATGTATGCGCCCATTCTCTCCCTGCAGTGTGTTTTATTATAAAGAGGGAGAAGTCATTTAGGTATTTCTAAAGCCATTGTCAAAACTAGGGTCGTTAGACCGAGTTAATGGTGGATTCATTATTGTCAGAAAGTTTTTCTCTTCTTTTTTTTTCCCAATTGGGAATTAATAAAGTAAGCCAAATTGTGCACAAGAAAAGCAATATCTGTGCTGTACTCCGTTGGTTGAATTACGATGATGCCCTACAGACTTTTGACCCCCGTGGTCATGTGTCAGAGAAGTCCTTCAATGTGGCCTTTTGTTCCGCGGCCTGAGAAGGTAACAAGGAAATGAGTCACATCACCTTGCTTAATTTCTAACACAGGGCTTCATTTGCATTAATAAGACAGCTGGCTCAATAAGCTCCTGCACTTCTTGTGTGTGTGGCTCAGCCAATCATCCACACACACACTGTATTGTGTTTTCCTCCTGAAGGTCTTCAAGCAATGAATTCAGGTCAGTCAATCAGAGCTGGGACACTTCTCTGAACTCATCAATCTTCGGGGCGAGCGATACAAGTCATCTCTGTCACTTTTATCCAGCAAGGTGTTGGAATTACATACAGGGTTTTTTTTGTCTGTCATTTGTACTTCAATAAAGATTTTTCTAAAAGTAAGATGGAGAGAATGGTTTTACAGAAGAAATCAATATGACAATTGTATGAAAAAAAACGAGGAAGGAGGGGTGTATGTGTCGTGGAAAAGTTCACACAGCTTCAGTATTGAAAGACAGACGCATTTCAATGACTCTCTTCGCATGTTGTGTCTGCTTTCCACCTCTCACCATCCATGGCTGCCTCTCTGCCTGAACTCCAAACCCACAGCACGGTTTAATCACTATAAGCACACCTAACCTGTCTCATATCGCATAACCATGGCTCTACCGATGTGAAGAACTCGGTATTTATCCTATGGGCTAGGGGATTTTGTGTAGAGACACCGTTACGCACCCCAGTGGGCGTTTGGCGAGACGGTGGCGCAGGAGTCGCATACAGTCGCAGTATAGTCACGGGAATACAGAGCCCCAAATGTCCTCCTGCTTAAACACAGGAGCGTTACGAACACATCGCACTGATTGCATTTACTTGCTTTGAATTCTTCTGAGGCAGTATTAACACCACGGAGGGTCGCATGATCACAGCCAGTCTGTGCCTCAGTAGCCAATTATAATGCAGCTGTTCTGTAAAGAAAGTATATCCTCGGGTGGCCTGTTTTCCCGTGCAGTAAAGATTTGATTTCTGCAATTTTAGACATAAATTCAGAATCAATTCTGAAATATAAGTAGGACAAATCCACGATTCCTGCGTGGCTTTAATTCCAGCTAATTTCCATTTAAGAGCTTTGGAGTAAAGACGAAGTACAACGTGCGCATTAAGAAGGCTGTGTGTGTGAAAATGAGGCCACGTCTATGTAAGGTAGAATAAACATCACGATTGATTTCTATAGTTTATTTCAAACTGGATCTGTCGAAAATAAAACGATGTCTCCTGTTTTGTGAGTATCTGACCCTGTGAGAAGAGCCACTCACAAGTCGTCTGGACATTGCGTAAACAGATCCACAGCGCAAAGAAGCACCCAAACGGACTTTCGCAGAGCCCCACGACAATTTCACCCTCTTCTAAATGCCCACACTGCTCCACCGCTGTGTCACGCGTGGCTTCCAAACATATATGTCCGTCATCTCCCCCCGCACCGGAGTCAACGTGTCTGCTCCGCGAGTCCGCAGAAAACAAACACATCCACTCGCCTCCCAAATCTCCTCCAAATATTGACCCGTTACGCATCGTTTGCTGCTGGCTCCCTCTCAATAGAACAAAGCCAACAATTGTCCATTATTTGCTGTATGAGTGTGTTTTTTATTTATTTGTCTTTCCCCCCTGACATCACCTGTCATGGTTTTGGAGCGCATTTTCAGAAAATCCACACAGTCAGAAGAAAAGCCACAGAAGCTCTAGTCACAGCAAATAAGAGAAAAGTCCTTACTTGTGTTTTGCGGCAATCCTCTCCGTTATTATTCTCCAGACTTAGGAAGGTTTTGTAAATATCCCGGGATAAAGCCTGGATGCAGTTTACGCGCCTGTGCTTCGTTTTTTTTTTTTATCCAGAGCGCGGAGCAGACCAGAACGCAGGTTTCCTTCCCCCCCTGTCTCCTTCAAGACAGATGTGAACAGTCCTGGCCGAGTCTCTCCACCTGCATCCCTGCTGTCAAGCGAAAAACAATGCAGAAAAACGCAGCTTTCAATTCTTCTTTAACAAATAAAAAATCTTACATTAAAACCAATCACTGGGGCTTTTATTTGGGCACTTCCGTCGCCGTTTCTCCAGCGGATGTTTCTAGATTATTCTGGGTGTTTTGACGCATCTCCACCTGCCTCCTCTGGAATAGAGGAGACACAGCGGCATCAGCAGCATTGGCAGCGGCAGCGCACCGAGGAGGCCGCCCACAGAGACACGCCCCGCTCCGGCTGTAGAAGGCTACTTCACCCTGGGCGAGGGAACCGAGGGAGGGCGGTGCTCCTCTAAATACTCCACTTAATCGTGGTCACATCTGACAGGCAGAGAAGACTTTAAAAAATGTGGTAAAAAAAAAAAAAGAAAGACTATGTCATTATTAATCTGAAGAGGATAGACCAGTGAGAGATTTTAAGGACTAAGGACTTGGATTGAAATCAAAGAAAACAAATCTGAATTAAAGCGCCTGTGAGGAGTTTTTAGTTGGTTATTAAACTGATTGAAATCAATGCTGGTGTCTATTTATGAACTTTAATTAAGCAAGCAAGCCCATCAGGGAAAATTGATCATTTCTATGTAGTTGTTTTCAATACTGTATCTTCTAGTGTCAGACAAAGTGAGTAACAGCACGTCGATAAAACCACTTATGTTGGCATTTTCCACAGCAAAGATTCAAAGTGAGTGACACCTTTGATTTTTTTTTAAAAAGGGAAAAGGTTGAGAGTCCTGGCAGAAAAATGTCATACACAAGTACAGAATAAATCAGGTAAGAGATAAAAGGTACAACACAAACCAAAAGTTCTTAAGAGGAGCTTTAAAGCTGCATAAATACAAAGTGAAATCCCAAACTTCTGCAGATCATAAAAAGGTTTTTACACCTGGCTCCAATAAAATTATAAAAGAATGCAGTCCAGCATTTTATGTTGTTGTAAATATAAAATCTACTCCATTGTCTGAATCAAAACAGAGTGGCTACTACTGACTCGCAAACTTAATTGCTGAAGATTTACTATGAAGTGCACTCTGGCTATTGTTTGCTAATGACTGCCCACATCTTCAGACATTTCTGCAGGCAATTATGCAAACAAAACAGTGCACTGTAAGCAGTGTTTGATCCTCGACTTAAAGGGAGGAAAACAACATGCACAGTAGTTTGCTCCACAGATGACACATCCTCATTTGCTTAGGAAAAAAAAACACTTTTCTTCCATTCATGATGATGTATGAAATAAGAGAGTAAACAATACATAAATAATAGGATTATTGGTTTTTGTGTGTTTATGGACTCAAGTTTTGAAGTAGTTTAATTTATTTTATACTAATGCAGGGAATGATATAGAAAAAAGACGCCATATATGAATTGTTGTACGTGTTTCTCAAGACTAAGCTTAGTTAAAGGTGTAATATGTCAGATTTTACACTAAAATATCTAAATTAATCAAAGATTTTCTAAAACTATGTGACATATATTTTTTGTAGAGTACTCACATTACCTCAAATATTTTCAACAGTTATCAAAACCAGAGAAATCTGTTATTATATAGTTGTTACTCCCCATGTCTTATGTGGCGTCCACCATGACAGAGACATGTTTATTGTTGCCATGGAGATACCAAAACACCAGAAATTACGCCAAAGACCCTTGCATAAGGATGTGGGTACTGCTACTGAAAGCTGTCGTGCTGTTGCTGTGATAAAAACATCATGTAGATTATACTCTAATACATCGTTGGTTCTCTTCCTCTGTTTCGCCTGGTCGTCTTGACTACAGCCAACTTGGATATATTTATCCAAGTTGGCCATCATAGGGAATGGAGTAGCAGAGAGAATAACTCCCATGATTCCCAGCTAGCTTTGACGTTACTGTGTAACGTTTATTTCCAACCAAAAAGGTAAGGTGGAAGTTAGAATGTGCATGTTGTATCATCTAACATCATGAATGAACTAAATCTGACTTTTACAGTCGACTTTTTGATCGTCTTTTTTAATTTATTCAGGTAAAACATTTTTTTTTGATAATTTTGATAATCAAAGTACACCTGAATTTCTAATATTATATCCTGTACGGCCACTCTATTCCAGTCTTCTGATAGTTTCCCAATTCAGACTTCAGGCAGTCACATCTTCAGAGAAAAGTATTTTTGAGAGGCAGCGCTGTTTGTTGAAGTGGAACTTAATTAGTTTGTTTAAACAACCTGAATTTCCACAGCTTTACAGCTTCCATTATTTTTACAGAGCCAAATGGATTCACACCTCTCAGTTTTTACCTGACTAAAGACCACTGCAGGATTTTATTCTTGCAGTCAGTTCAGTTTGCAACCTCAGAGGGAATCAAACAGAGACTTCTTGTGGAAACGGATGAGCTGGTTCAGCTGCACAAAGAGCTGCTCTTTCAGCTTCTCTTTACTCAGCACCATGTCCATTCAGTCATCTTAAGTAATACTCTAACTTATGCACACACATATCACTTTAATTATCTAATATAAGAAAACTAAGCCTTACTATTTCCTAAATAACAATTACTTTATATGATTTAAAAACCTTGAATAGAAATCAATCAGACATCATTACAATGGCATGGAAGCCAAGTGGACAAGCATCCAATACAGGTTTATTTCATTAGATAAATCCCACTGGTTGAGCAGCGGACTGAATAGAAACGTCATCACCCCTGACAGAAACATTTCCAGTTAATGTCTGGGAGAAAAATATGGTCATTTACGTTCACACATGCAGCCCACCCTGGCTCCGATTCACAGCTGTTGTTTTTTCTTTTTGAGACAACAAGTAAGCTCACTTTTATATAGCCAATCATTCTCTTTCTGCTGCACCATCACCTGTGACCCTAAAGACTGGCCCATTGCCATTGCTTCTGGCAAAAACAAAGGTGTCATCTGCACTGGCAGGACCATTTGATCAGGTCTGAGAAGGAAAGACACTAGGGGTGGTGGGGGGGGTCATTTGAGTCAGGGAGACCATTTAAAGCTGAAGCTGCACTTCTCTCCTGCTCTCACTTACTCTTTGTATCCTCCTCTCATGGTGTCAAGACACTGGGCTGAAAAAGTTCCTCATTAGTCGCCTCCTGTGGTCTGCTACTCGGTTTGGCCTCAGTGGGAGAGTGACAGAGTTCTGCTCATCATGTCTCACATCATGTCAGCAAATTGTTGCAGTAGAAGACTTCATTCTGGCCCGGGTTTCTGGTCTTTGATCTTAGATGGCAGTTGCCAAATTCATCACTTATGTTTTTCCCTTGAGATATCCACGTTAAGTATTCAAAATCAGCAACAACAAAAAAAAAGGCTAGATTACGCCTTAGTGTGCCATCGATCAGAAACCATGGGGGAGAAATTGAACACATATACTGTATTGACACATAAGTCAATAATGTGTCTTTGGAGTACTCTTACAGTGTATCCCATCCATCCAGCCATCGGCATGTTCGGCCTTAAAGGTCTGTAGCAGCGTGTCAGCGGAGAAATCACAGGCCCAGTCAATGAGTCTGGAGGGGGTGTCATCAATCACAGGCTCATTGAGCAGCATGGTGCGAGAAAAGGACTTCAAAAGAATATTGGCACCTCTTGGATTTAATTTTCTCAGGGCCAGAATGTGAGATTGAAAATAGCATGTGTAGAGGCGGGTGGCCAATTGTCACTGCAGAAAGTTGAGACTGCATCCGCATGTTAGATATAAGTGTGGGTGAGGAGCCTTTAAAATACAAAGTCAAACACATCGGATATCTACTCACACTGTGACAATCGGATACTTCACAAGAAACTGATACTGGAGTGTAAGAGTTGTACTGTTTGGAGATGTCCTATTTCAAACAAACAAGAAAAATCAACGGTTTATCGAATGGTAAAATCAACTTATCAATAAATCTTCAAATTAATACCATCATTTTCTACAGTGTCCCTCTAATTCCGGGTAGCATGCAGTAGAGTTTCCTGCAATTTTATTCATCTTTTCCTCTCATTATTTCAGTCTACAATTAATTTAGCAGACGCTTTTATCCAAAGCAACGTAAATCAGAGAGTAAGAACAACACAAGCAAGGACCTAGAGAGGAGGGAACAATGTCAGTAAGAGCAAACTAACAGCTTTAAGTCCGATTGGACACACAGGTGCTGACAGGAAGTGACCATAGGCAAAGCACAACATCGACAGCTGTTCTTGAGAGCTCTAAATCAGCATCAAAAGACATCCTAAAATCGTCATTATCGAACAAAACCATCGTCTTCATCATCACTATCGTCGTTAAGTGCGTAGTTATTCATGAAAGAGCTAGGTCGTTAGCTTTTTCTTAGCTGTCTGACAGAAGCAGACAGCTGGTGATATTTCCTTTGTGTGCAGAAGAAGCGTCAAATGTTGTGCTAAACGCCGTCTTTTATGTGAGCTCACCAAACCTCCAGGATGTGCACCATCCGTCGAAGCCATATTTACATGGAGGTGGAACCTGGAATTGCAGCGATTTGATGCAATTGGACAGAAAAATACTTCCCATAAGCTTACATTGGAAAAGAGACATTTATAAATCAGTGGATACGTTTTTTGGGGGTATGTACTCCATGCACTAATAAGCAGCTTTCATTAGAATAAACAGGGCTCCACTTCCAATGTGTATCCATCACATAACACATCCATGGAGCTCGTGCACAGCCTTAAGCAGGACGCCTGAGTTAACAGATTATTATTTTATTTTTTAACAATATGTTTATTGAGTTTTAAACATTTTTCCAAGACACACAACTACAATTAAATAAATTCTAAGGGGGGAAAAAAGGGGGGGGAAGTAAAATGTAATAATACTAAATAAAAAAACAAAAACTTTAATTACAAAATGTTGCGACATTATTACTGTCCGTATTAAATAAAAATAACAAAAGGGAGTACATTGCCATAGATGA